TAATCTTTCTTACCCCCTCCAATCTGTACTAAAATTGCGACAATTAATATGAATCGGATGAAGTATTAAATAAAGTTTGGGGATCCCTCTCCCGTTAACAAAAACAAACAAGCGCAATACATAAACAGTTAACTTTTACGAGGATGAAAAAAAGTTATGAGTGTTCCCTGCAAAAAAAATGAGAGAAAAAGTTTCGAGTGTTCGTCGTGGTTTACAGTGCAAGCACGGTGGCGCCACTAGCCAGATCTGGCACCGCTGCTGCACGTTGGTCCCTGATTGTTTTTGGTTAGACACGTTAAGGGCCGTTGAACGCACCACCATGTCGATCGATCGATCGATCGTGCTCGCCGGGTCCCGCCCACGGCGCAAGTGGAGCCATGCCCCCAGCATGACAGCATCCCCGTTCTCACCAGTGGAGAAAGGATCACGCGAAAAGTGGGCGCGGAGCCTAGGACGGAAGCGGGAGTCGCGGCACGTAAAGCGAGACAGCCCAATGACAAGCCGGTCAGGATCAGCCTGGCCGACCCAAGCCAGGAGCCACCGACTCGTGTCGTGACCCACTCGTCGAAGCCTAGTGAAAGAGGCACGCATAGACGTAGCTTTGCCGGTTGCTCTGATCAGACCCGTTGGATTGGAACTTGCAAGGATGGGCAGTGTACAGTAATGTCCGTGGTTGATTGTTATTACTGGCAAAGAGCATGGCAGAAGCACCATCGGATCAGAGCGAGATGGCTGCTTGTCATGCAAGCTTGAAGGCTGAAGCTTGTGACTAAAGCCTTGCTCCTCCTGTTGATCCAGTGAAACATTTCCTAGTCTAGGCCAAACATGGCTATCTAGTCCAAAAAGAACTCATCGAGTGTGCTTACTTAGTAAGCAAGTAGGAGTACTTGTCAGCATGGATGGATGGACGGATGGATCGGTCTCCACTCCAAGCAACATCGATCACACTATCGGAACGGAAGGATGGTTAGTGATCTGGTGTCGTGTCGATCCAGGACGCACGGCACGTGAAGCTTGGCTAGCGCCGGTTGGTCGTGGGTGCGTACGAGGGGGGGAGGGAGGCGCTCCCTAGGCTGACACGTTCGCCGTCCAACATAGGTAGGTATTGCTTTCAGGCGTTGCAACGTTGCTGTTGTTTGTGGCGCGCCTCGTGATTACAGGCCTCACTGTCCTACCAAGACCTCTCATCTACTACATGCCTCTCTTAATCTAAACAATTAATTAGTTCCACGACCAACATGCACAATTCCTCCATCAACAATTTGTTTTCATTTACTAATTACTACCGTGCGGTATGATGCTAGCTTGTCCCATGAAGATTTTCGGAGAGGGGCCATTAATGCGTGTATGCATGCACGGCCTGAAGCACAAATCCACGGTCCAATGATGGCACGGAGGATCGGCATCTCACCGGTAGTGGAGGGGCTGTAAGATACTCCCTCCGTTTATTTTTACTCCGCGTATAAGTTTTGGTCAAAGTCAAACTACACAAAGTTTGACCAAATTTTTATTAAAAAATATGAACATCTACAATAATTAAATTACATAATATAAAAATACATTTCACGGTGCATCTGAAAATGTTGATTTCATATTGTGAATGTTGATATTTTTTAATATAAAGTTAGTCAAACTATGCAAAGCTTGACTTTGATCAAACCTTATATGCAGACTAAAAAGAAACGGAGGGAGTACATCACCGGGACGTCGGGCAAATGGAGCAATAAGACAGCCTTGTCACAGAGCGTTTGTTTGTTTGCTCGGGTCGAAATCTATCTAGGTTACTTAATTTAAGCGACGGCGCTCCATGCATCGCGCAGCACCTAGCTCGATCGCCACGTTCGCGAGTGTTTGACCCGATCGGTGCCCGCTGCGTGCGGTGGAGCGAGCATTATTGCACATGCAAGCGGGCGTCGGTCAAAAAGGGGCCGCGTGGATAAACTGGATCGTGGCCACCGCGGTTTACGTGCGGCAACCTCGGTGTTTCGCCGTGGTTCGTTTCAGTTTCTAATTTTGAAATCCTCTCTTCCAATCCCTCGTGTCTCTTTCTTTCATGTAAAAAGAAAGTCACTTTCTCTGTTTTTTTTCTAAAGAGGACTTACTCTGTTTTTTTTCTTTTTGAGGGAAGCTTACTGTGTCTTTTTAGGCAATTCTTACTCCGTGTTTTTGTGCAATTTTTCAGCTAAAGTATGGTGGGCCTGGACCGCCACGGCCTGAACGCAAGACACGGGTGTGCTTGGGTCGGCGACTACTACAGGATTAATACCCAGAGGATCGATCTCCACTGCCTGCCTTCCCAAGGATGCTATACTAGGCAGTAGTTTCCTATTTACCGCACAATTCGGCAAATTGCAAGTGATTCGCACTACCATTTCTTTTTTCAAAAAGTGTTCAGAAACTTCGCCAAATGTTTCTAAATTCAATTTTTTTCAACCGTTCAAAAAATAATTTTCAGGAATTTAAAAAAATCACATTCTTAAACAAATGTTTCGAATTAAAAAAAAATCAGAAAATCATGTTTTAAAAAAATCTTGGAATTGCAAAAAATATTAGCATTTTGTCAAAATATCTTTTTTAATTTTATATATTTTTCTTGTTTTCAGAACAAAGTTCAGATTTTTTTTAAATCTTCACAATTTTAAAAAGTTCAATTTATTTTCTAAAATTCTTCACGTTTTTCAAAAGTACACTCTTTCAAAAAGGGTCTAGAAATTTATAGAAGTGTATGCCACAACATGGTTCATTACAGTGTGTTCTGCAGCACTTCAGTTCGCTAATCACTAGAGTGGTTCTCCCCATCACTACAAGCGCACGCTTGCGTCGCCAATGGGCCAGCCCTGCGAAGGAGGTGCATGCTTGCCGCAAAGAGCGGCGTATAAGAGCTCCCCGATTGCTATACTATATCTCACTTATTGCGAGATCAGCGTCCGCTCGTCTCAGTTAGACAAGGGATTGGCCAGCATCTTACAGAAAAAAAACATCATGTATTAAAAAATCATTTTCATGGAAAAACTTGATCGTGATTGCAAAAATGTACTTAGCATGTAGTTTTAAAAAATTCAACATGTATCACAAAATGTTTGCCGTGTATTTTAAAATTGATTGTCGTCTATTAAAAATGTTAGCCGTCTATTAAAAAGTTATTCATCCTATATCTAGAAACTTTTCATCAACAAAAGTGTTCATCGTGTATTTTTAAATACACGTTGAACTTTTCTGTATAGTAGATGACCTTTTTGAACACAATGGATATTTTTAGATGTGGTGAACAATTAAAAAAATATGTGATAGTTTTTTTAAACACAATGAACATTTGTAAATAAACATGACGAATATTTATTAAATGTATGGTTACCATTTTTTGATTTCTCAACAGTTTTCCTGAAAAATAAACAATGGACATTTTTAATACATAATGATTTTTTTAAATGCGATGAACTTTTTTAGTAGATGATGATTTTTATAAAAAATATATGATTTTTTAAAGATGAATGATGAACCTTTTCACAAAATGTGTTTAATATTTTTTTCAAAAAAAAATAAATACGCACTAGATTTTTATTTTTTATTTTTTGTGAAA